TGCCTTTGACTAACACAGCTTATTAAATTACAACTACTTACATTTAGAAAAGTTAGTGCAATGGTTGCTGATATCCTTCAGTTGTGCTCCTGCTCCCATGTGCTTGGAAATATATATAAGTATATATACCTTACATTTGTCATCCAGAACACTACAAATGAGCATTTTTGAGTAGCTATCTGTTATTTGCCTGAAACACCTATTGCACTGGGGTTTCACTTCAGATAGAAAAAAAGCCAGGTGCTGCAGTGATAGGGATACAGAAGTGGGTGGATTAATGGATAAAGTGATACATGGATAAATAGATTGAAAAAACTGGAAAAAATAATATTTCATTTGCTACAAAATAAATTGCAATACCGCTACCAGTGACCAGTAACTCATTCAAGAAATTAAGTCTCTGTCATCCCAGGTCTTCAACAATGAAAGGAAACCCATTCACTGCTTGCTTCTGTTTATCTGTCTGTTTTTTGGGGTTTGGGTTTGGTTTTGTTGGTTTGTTTGTTTGATTGATTGATTGATTGATTGATTGATTGATTTTACTGGTCTATGTATGGTCCTCACTATACAGCATCACAAATTTGCTACTACATTTTAAAACACAAGCAGAGGTAATTGAATGACTGCTTATAATCAGTTGAAAATGTTGTGGAAAATATTACTAAATCTTAATTCTTTCATTTTTGAACTCCACAGAAATATTGCACAACGAATATATTTCTTCATCTGTCCAAAAATGATACCTGGTTAGATGCATGGGGTGTACAGGGGCTGGACAGACAAATAGGTCTATGTACCAGTGTCCCTGAGGTGGCATTTTGGAAACTTTGCCCCTAATTCTGCTGCCACCAAAGTCAATGGAAATTTGGCCACAATTTCATTGACCAGTCGATAAAATGACTTAATTTAATCAAATGTGGCAAGAAGAAGTGTGTTTCAGTTGCATTAAAGGAGTTGAGTAGTATATATTTGGAAGAATGTCCTGATTGTGAACATGGTTAAGCATTATTAACAGTTATCTGGAAAGGTTATAAAACCAATTTCTATGGGAGTTTTTAAGTTTTTAAACATTTGTCTGGAGTGCTTTAGATAGGAATGTTCCTAACTTGATCAGGACCTTGAAGTATATAAGGTTCAGCAGTCCCTTCCAGCCCTATCTTTTTATGAGTTATTTCAAAAAGGTTTGTTCTTGTATTGGAAACATCTGGGTGGATTAACAGATAAAACTTCCATAGATTTAAGATCCTGTAAAATCTATCTGAGTAATAACCTGGCTTCCATCACTGAAGAACTTGATTGTCTCAAAAATGATTAAAAATCCTGAAAATACACTAAATTCTAGTGAAGTGTCATAGAATCATAGGGAAATAGGGCTGGAAGAGACCTCAAAAGGTCATCTAATCTAACCCCCTAATGAAGGCAAAACCATCCCTGACTAAACCATCCAAATGACTGTTTAACCTCCTCTCATAAACCATCCCAGTCAAATGTCTGTTTAACCTCCTCTCGATCTTTGAGGCCATCACAGTATGCGAGATCAATCTCTAAACCCCTCTTCTCTACTTCTCAGAAGGATGGATAAGGAGAATAGGACATCTGTGACCAAGTTCATCCTGCTGGGCTTCCCAAATCTGCAGAAGTGGCACAAGGTCCTATTTGTTTTCATCCTCTTCATATACATCCTCACACTGGCAGGGAATGGCCTTATCATTGCTATTGTGAGAACTGACCAGCAGCTGCAAACACCCATGTACTTTTTCCTGAGCAATCTCTCCTTTCTGGAGATCTGGTACACCACCACCATTGTCCCAAAGATGCTGGAGACCTTCCTGGTGGCCAGAACCACCATCTGCCTCAACTGCTGCCTGGTCCAGTCCTTCTTCCATTTCTTCCTGGGCATCACTGAGTTTCTGATCCTGACTGTCATGTCCTTTGACCGCTACGTTGCAATCTGCAAGCCGCTGCACTACACTTCCATTATGACCCATCAGAATTGCTCCCTGCTGGTCATGGGAGCTTGGACACTGGGTTTTGTGGTAATCTTTTCCCAGGCAGTACTGCTCCTACAGGTCCCATTCTGTGCCAGAAATGTCATCAACCACTTCTACTGTGACATTGGACCGATCCTGAAGTTGGCCTGTGCAGACACACAGACCATTGAATTGCTGGGTTTCCTAGGCTCCATCACCATCATCCCCAGTACCCTGCTCTTCACAGCGGTATCCTATTTCTATATCATCACTACCATTGTCCGCATCCCCTCTGCTGGTGGGCGCCGGAAGGCCTTCTCCACCTGCGCCTCCCACTTCACCGTGGTCTCCATCCTCTACGGAGCTGTTGTCTTCATGTACCTGAAGCCCTCAACTCACTCCTCCTTTAGTCTCAACAAGGTGGTGTCAGTCCTGAACACACTCCTGACCCCCTTACTGAACCCATTCATATACACCATAAGGAACAAGGAGGTGAAGGCTGCCTTGAGGAAAGCTGTGAGCAAGTAAGAGCCTATTTCAGGATGTCCACAATCCCTCAAAGGTACAACAACTGAACTCAAATCCTGGTTTTTCCCTGAGCAAATTGTGGGCCAAGGCCAAGGCTTTGATGCAAAATAAGAGATGTATTTTTATGCTGAGGTGACTGTATTGGTATAAAAAATTAAATGAGGGAAAAGAAGGTGGTTTCACTTTATCTCAGTTTAGTTTTGGTAAACTCCAGGGTGGAGGGTAGCTGCATTGTAATAAAAGCTACCTGATACTTCCCTCCACTACAGCATTATGTCAAGGTAGTAATTATATTTTTTTAAAAGCTATATACCAGGGATGACCTGGTGAGGGGACGGCAGATCCTTGACCGCCTGGGCAATAGTGATCATCACCTGCTGGATTTCATTATCCAATGCAGGGTGTCAAGGGCTCACACCAAGGCTAAAGCCCTTGACTTCAGAAGGGCCAACTGGAGTTGGAGGAGGCACTGAGGGCCTAGAAGGTAGAGGAGATGGGAGTTCATGAGGGATGGTCGTACCTTAAGGGGGCGATCCTCCAGGCCCAAAAGATAACAGTCCCTGAGAGAAACAAGGAGGGTAAGAGTGCTCAGAAACCCCCTTGGCTCAGCAAGGGCATTCAGCAATGCCTGAGGACTAAAAGGGAGGTGTACAACCAGTG